CGACGCTGGTCATATGTGTGTGTGATGGCTGTGACGTACAATAACAGAAGCTTACGCTATTAAACTAGTAACCTGACTCGCGCAGAGGGAGAAATAAACGAATAGTTGAAATAAAGTCGTTATTTTTGTGGTTTTTTTGCGCACAAAAGTGTTCTCGTCGTTTGATAAACTTAAGATTGAGCCCCTGTAGTCACTTGGACTATTTTAACGATGTCTTTAATGACTTTTCGAGGACAGCAAGAGCCAGTCCCTCAAGAAGCCTATGGACTGTATGCAGGAGCGATCTTAATATCTTAAATATCTTAATTTGTGTTCCGAAGATGAACGAAGGTCTTACGGGGTTGGAACAACATGAGGGTGAGTAAATACTGACAGAATTTTCATTTTTGGGTGAACTAACCCTTTAAGATGGACACAAGGGTCTTTCTTTAAGATACCGGTACGTCAAAGCCCTTATCCGTTACCTGTCTGCGGAGAGGAATGCTTTTGGCCAGCTTATGGACGGCCAGCTGGCTGTTGAAGTCGCTCTTCTTGGAGGAGCTGCGGACTTTGACGATGGTGGCGATTCCTACCATGAGGAAGATGAGGAAGAATCCCACGCAGTAGATCAACACCTCCAGGTAGGACTGACTGGGAACTGCAGAGGGAGCGATGGGTGCTTATGGGGCAAACACAACGCTAAGGTCAGTAACCAAAACTAGATTTATACCTCTACTGAAGAATGAGCTATGGGGTTTTAAATATTTATCGGGCTGTTGCTATTAAGAAATATTTTTTCTGAAAAAGTAAAAAAAAAAAGTAAATGATAGTGATGGTTGGCATAGAAACAGCATTAATAAGGTTGAATACTCTTATACAGTTTCAACTGACATCAAAAACACCTCTGTGACTGTGTCTACTACAGCATTAAACAGTGCTTTGGACTGACACACACTGGTAGATGCTGGTGACAGGCACACACGCACACGTATCCACACATACACACACCGAGCTCTGTTTTATTTCAACCAGTGCATTTGACACTATTGGCACCGAGAAGAGAGCACAAGCTCCCTTTGTTGCCACATAATAGCTCCTTTGTGGAGTAGTATTTCATCCCACATTCTCCACCGGCATGGGGCTGCAGTCGTCCCATGCACAAGTATGAAATGGAAACATCCTGGCCAAACTGTCCTGGGAGGCCAAAGAGACACATAACTACACCTGATGGGTTGTTATTAAATTAAAGCATCGTATCTATAGATTTGAGCTGTTCTGCAATATTATGCAATGGTTGAAATAAAACAAAGTCTCCAGAAGATGAGGAACCAAATGTTTGTGGTGCTTGATCATTAACAACTTCATATATTTTAATGATGCATTGATAACGCGCACCTAGTCACAATTAACTCAGATTATAGTCAATAAAATGATAAAGATGTTCCAAAATACTGTTACCCATATGGCATTTTAAGGCATCATAATCATGCTCCACACACAATGGTGGTTAAAAGATTATGCTGCATTATAAGATAACTCATTTTTGATGAATTCTAAGGCTGCATCACATGTATTCTTTCCAAAGAAGGCAATCCCATTATGCATTGCGACTAGCTTGGTAAAAATAAATAATCCCAGATGGTGCACACGTTGAGGAAAATGTTATAAATACGTTGATCTTTCAATCACTGCTAAAAAAAATATGAATAAAAATAGTTCAATTGACTATTTTAGCCAATATTTTTTTCATGTGCTATTTATTTTAATGCCTATTAGAGCAGAGGTTCTCAACCGGTGGCCCTCAGCAAACCTCAAGATGACTTAAAATAAGCCCAAACAACAACAAAAATGAAAGATATTACTTATTTTAATTAACCCACTCAAAATAAAAAAGTATTCCCTTCGAAGAACCAGGGTTCCCACGGTCTTGATACGTAGGCTAATCTTAAAAGTGCGATTACTAGACCTGGAAAACTCAGTAAATTAAAAAAGTCTTGGGCTTTAATTAATAAAACTGTGAAAGAATTTTATAATGAATATACGTTGTCATCTCAAGCTCTAAAAATTGCAAGTGATAGCAAATTTGTGGGGGCGCAAGAAGTCATAGCCTATATTGAGTTTACCAAATATGCTACTTATGAGGTTCAATCACAGTTAGGATGCAGCCTTAGAACACCAAAATAGCTTCCTAGATATTCTCATATCATAGTCTGCTTACTCTCAGAATGAACATAACTGATTTAATCAGAGTAAAGGTGACTTGGTGTGCACTAACCGCTCATTAAAACAACAAAGATAGCAGGACAGAGTGAGAAAACAAGGAATTTAGAGGAGGTGAAACACAGTGCCATAACTGGTGTCATTTGCCAGGTCAATGGGAAGTAAAACCTACTAAGGGAATCTTAGTAAGATAATACTTCAATAGGGGAAGATGTCACTAAAATCCAAATGTTTGGTCTACTAGTCATGCTGGTGCCGCGCATGGGTGGTTTTGCACCTGTGGACGGTTACACACGTTCCCATAAAACACCTCGCCCTTTGTCAGCGGTGCAAAAGATACACCGGCTAAAGTGACAGCTGAGTAAATGCTCTTCGACTTAAATGTGGTTCACCTGAAACTGGCAATTGACACAAACAAATGGACACTGTTGGGAATTATGGACGAGAAGGGAAGGTCTTGAGAGGACAGGAAAGAGTCGCCGGATACCTTTGACAACGGTCAACCATGCTGAATGATGGGAGATCCCGATAGAATTGCCCGCCAAGCAAGTATACTCCCCAGCATCCTCAAAGGACACATTCCTCAACTGGAGCACCTCCATCTCCTTGTCGGTGGTGTTGAGGCCAGCCGTCTGGAAGAGAACGAGAAAAGCAGACCCGAGGCCCAAGACGTGAGGGGAAAGGAGGAGGAAGCGGGACCACATTGAGCTTGGGGAGTTGTTGTTTCTGGTTGTTTTAAAAACCAGTTAGATGCTCCCAAAGCTCAGAAAGCCACCTGAAACCTTTCCATCACCTGTAGAGAGAGCAAATATCACTGCCCAGCACCATCACCACCAGTCTACCTCCACCTACATCAGGCAAGCCACATGGAGAGTCTCTCCAGTAAGACCCAATCCATAGCCAAGGAATTATTGCCATTGTTTGGGTCAACTGGAAGTTTCCATGGCATTATTGAATAGGAAAACCCAAAGCATGAGAGAAACCCAAAGCAAAAACCTCTACAGAGATCATTTCAGACTAGCCTGTGATCAAGTTACCTTGTCTAAGGACAGTTAACCAGGCTGACTGATTGGCTTCTCCTATATAATTGGACACTTTGCATATATACTCGCCGCCCTCTTCTTCTGTGATATTGTAGAGAGTCAGCACCTGGGTGTCCGAGCTATTGACCCCCGAGTGCTGGAGACAACAAGAGACCAAATTCATGACATCCGGTCCCAATCCAGCACATCCTAATATGTGTGGATCTCTTATACGAAACCGCTGCATACAAGTCAGACTTGAGCAAATTGGCTGCATTTCATTGTTAAACCTTTACCTTTAGGACGCGTACGTAAGGGAGTCCATCAGGTCCCCGTTGACTTCCGTTCACCAATATGTGTTTGAGCCACTGGATGTGAGGCTGGGGATCGCTGAAAACCTTGCATACAAACTCTACGTCACTGCCAACCACAGCCGTTCGGTTTGCAGGGAGACCAGCATAGAGGATGGGCCTGTGAGGTGATCGCTCTGCAATATACACAAGGGGGGTTTGTGAGTCTTGAATTTAATTGCAATATTTATTCTTGGACTGCCACTGGTCGAGACTGAGACGTGACTGACCCACTACATCCAGCTGATAGGTGTGATTGATGCTTCCGTATTCATTCTCCACCAGGCATGTGTAGTTGCCCTTGTCTGAGGGCACCACAGACTCCATGATTATGGTCCACATGTGTTCCCGCAGCTGAGAATGGAAAAAAATACTATTACTTAAAATTAGAGCCCGACCGATAAAGGATTTTGAAGGCCGATACCGATACAAATATTTGGTGGTTTTAAACGGATACTCCACTTATTTTGGAAATCATTTTCATTTTACCACTCCCGCAGAGTTAAACAGTTGAGTTTTACCGTTTTCGAATCCATTCAGCCGATTTTCGGATATTTAGAACAATATCAGTAACCAGACAGTTTCTGGTCTCATTGACTTCCATAGTAGGAAAAAAATATACTATGTAAGTCATTGAGACCAGAAACCGTCTGGTTACTGATATTCTTCCAAATATACGGAAATCGGCTGAATGGATTCGAAAACGGTAAAACTCGACTGTTTAACTCTGGGGGAGTTGTAAAATGAGCCTATTTCCTAAAAAAAAGTGGAGTATCCCTTTAAAATCCGATATTCCGATATATCGGCCGATATTTGTTTTTTATTATTATTATTTCAGAAACGCGCAACAAAACATTAACAGATTTCCCTAACATTAGTTATTTATGAGTTTTAACTAAAATAATATAATAATGCATTTTAAAAAGAAACTTGTTTCTTTTATCGTCACAACAGAACAGACTGATGATAGTGGCATTAGCTAGCTTTGTGGTTAGCTAGTCTATGATGAGCCATAATTTAGCAATGGATTACGTCATACTGCAAATTGTAAAACTTACATTTTCAATATAACAGGCCTAGGAGAGATGATACATCTTATTGCTATAACTGTCACGCGCTATTAAAGAAACACTTCACGTCGCATTGTCAAAAGTTAAAAGGACAGTCAGTCAACTATACTGTAACAACGTAACGTTACTATTACTAGCTAATTCCGCTTCACTCTCGGCTTATTTAACAGCACCAAAACTGGACATGATAGTCACAAATTTTGTCATGCTTTTTTGAGTTAAGAGAACTAATGCGGATGTTCTTTTAATTGTTATTCAAGCAATGTATGTCTCGTGACCAACTCAACGAGTGTTGCCAAGAGGGACTGTGTAGAGTGCCCTCTGTTGGACAAACTATACAACTCCAACACTCATGACATGGTTCAAGCGTGTTTCGTCCGTTTTTATTTTTGAAATATTCATTTATCGGCCATTATAACTGCCGATACCGATAGTTTGGAAAATGCCTAATATCGGCCGGCCGATATATAGGTCTGGCTCTACTTAAAATAGATTCATAAAATGTTTATTTTGAATATATACACAGCCCAGATAAAAGAAAGTCGCTGTTTGGATTAAATTGAAAATGCTTAAGAGTCAATGATTGAATAATTGCATGTTTGTTTCGCAACCCTAATTGATGGATCATGTAGCTTTTCATTTCTTAAACATTGTAGGAACACACATCATGGCAATATTCCAGGATGACAATGTCAAGATCAGGCTCAATTTGTGAAAGAATGGTTGGGAGGGATTATTCATGAAGAATAATATTCACACGTAATTTTCTGTATCCTTAGTTGGAAATGGCTGATGGAACAATCTTGAATGTCGAAACTGGCAGCAAAATAATCAAATATTTTGTGCATATTCAGTATATCACAAAGCCCTAATTATCACTACAGCTATCAGCTCGTAACCAGACCTCTCATGTTGCCTGCACGTTTAAATCAGGGTGTGTGTATTCAGGTGTCGGGTTCCAGGGTGTCGAGATTCAGGCTGTGATTTCGGCCTATTGTGAGCTGAGGTTTCAGCTTTCCTTCTCTCGGCTCAGGTGCAGAGTAAATGAGGGTTGTATGTCCTACATAACAGTGATATCACAACAGAAGTCAGCTACTGAAGTGCTCTCATGTGCAAACGTACCTTGTAGCCCCCGATGCGCTGGTCTCTTTTGAACTCTTTTCCATTCTTGAGCCAGCGTAGTTTCGGAGTTGGGTTTCCCTCGGCTTGACATCGGAATTTCACCGTTCTGCTGGCCGGAACGGCATGAAGCTTTTTTTCCATCTTTTCAGGCTGAGCCCAGTGAGGTGCCATCGCTAAATCGAAAATATGGTATTTAACAAAACAACAAACATTTAATAATTGGATTGTCTTCCTGAAAAAAAAGAGAGCGCATGCTTACGTAAGAGCTCCTGGCTACTTGACGGCTTGTTCTCTTCTGACGATGACTCATCGTCGTCCTCATCCTCGGAAGACGGTACTGCGTGACCTGTGACAAAGTCGACAGAATGCGTGTCAGAGAATACATTCATTTAGCCGTTCACCATGAGCAATTTCAGACGTCAAAATTTCAGTAAAACACTGATTTATTTGTCTGTCTCTGTACAAGAATTCTGGTCAGGGAGCAGAGATAGCAGCAGATTAAGAAAGGCGAAGTTTGAAACGCTTTTAATTTTTTATTCACAATACTGTGCCACATTTTGTAGTCTTGATTGATCAGGTTAGTGAACGGAATAAACGCATCCGCCCTTCACAGAGCGCCGGACAGTGAGAGTGCATGAGTCACTGCAGGCTCCGCTCCAGATCCATGCACACACTCGAATCACAGACGCACACACAATCTAGGGAGCCGTCTCCACAGCAGAACAGGGAGAAAAGACCTCTAAAAGCCTCAGTTGCTCATCTATGAAAACAATACAACCTCAAAAAGCAAATTAAATGTTTTCAAACTTGTTTTCTTGTTCATTTGCTTAGAAAAGTAACAGAACTACTTTCTTCCACAAGCCACATCATTTGAGATATCATTCATGTCCATAGCACAAACGGTGAAGGACACCAAAAATACACCATCAGCCATACCCCTCAAAAATAACAAAATGTGTCATTTTCACAGAAAATTGTTTCTTCGATATATATATATATATAAAAGTTCATCATCTCTAAGCTCTTACAAGACGTTTCTCTCACATTAATGATGAAATAGGCAGAGTGGTTGCCCAGAAAGCTCTGAACAGTGCAGGAGTAAAGCCCAGAGTCTGTCGGCTTTACTAACCCGATCTCCAGCTGGCCCCTGTTCACCCACGTGGTCTCCATTCAGCAATGCAGCGTGGTCTCTCATCCAGATGACCCCTAGGACTACATGAGGTCTCGTCTTGAGCCAAGCACCAAGGAACAACGTGTACAGCTTCATTTTCACCTCTGTTCGAACTAGTGGCGGAACAGAAGACCAGGAATGTTTGGCAAAGGGGGAACTGGAGCAAAATCGGCAACGCGGGTCCAAAGGAAACTGAAGAACCACTAAACTTAAATAAGGGCCATGACTAACAAAAAGATGAGTTTGTAAAGCACTATTGAGAAAGAAAACTACACAAGGAATGCTTTAAAAATCAAAGCTGATGCCACAAAGTCAAAAAAAGATTAAAAATGTATGCAAGCCAGATATCCGGAAATAGAAAATCAAGACCACATCTGGGGGATATTTTAACCTAAAATTACCCTTTTTTTTTTTTTGCATTATGACATTTTCATGACTATTTAGCACATTTCAATTAAGCAAATTCCAGTTATGCCAAAATAACAATATCTTTCTTTTGACTGATATCATGATTTACAATAAGAATGCAAAGTACAGATAGTATTTGTTCTTCTGCATTTAACATTTAATCATGCTGTTTTATAATAAAAATAAAAGATAATCATATATTTTTTAAACGAATGACAGTTTTACAAAAAAAAGTTAAATATCTGAAAATTAAGAGAATATTTTGATATGAAAATGAAGGACATTTTCCCACGGAAAAAAAAAAGCTCTGCCAAAAAACTGCCAATACAAATTATCCAAATAGTCTTAAATATTATTTTTTTTAAATAAACTTTTTTTTTTATGTCCCAGGGTCTTTATCGTGAGATTCACCCATCTCACCCACCAATTCAATACTGCACTCTGCTCAAACACTTTGAATAAAAAAAAACAATCCTGTCAGAAAGAAATGCACTCCTTTACAATAAATGCACTTTAGAAATGCACTTCCTTTACAAAAGATTGGGAAGTTCTGAGGTTAAAAATGAAACTGTTTAAAGATTAACCTCCGGTGACCCACTACACTTATTAAGACTGAGTTTCAGTACATACAAACAAAAGCCAAAAATAAAAACCCTGACGCCAGAGCAAATGGTAGTTCCCATTCAAAGAGACCCCCCACCAACCTTAAGTCACCTTAATTGTCAAACAAACTAATCCTTCCCTTTTGTCCTCCACAAAGTTTCTTGACAATGCGAGCGGATCCGTAAGAGATGGAGGGGGAAAGAGAGTTAGTTTGGAGAGACAGAGAAGAGCCTGTAACAGCAGGTTCCTCGGCTAGTTGTCATGGAGATCTCACTTGAGCCAACTGGAGGTATTTCCTGGATCACAGGCCCCTTAATCCCAGCAAGGAAACGGGACGAGAGGGGGGTGGGATCAACTTTCGTTTCAGCCCAATTTAACAAAAAAAAAAAAAGCAGGAAAAGTAGCGGCTGGGGGAGATGACTGGACTTGAAATGAGGACTGATGTCTTATCGCATATACTTCCATTCACTTTATTTTCAATCATTCCAATCCCTTACAAGAGCAGAAACAGGACACACACATTAAACCACAGATTTACAAGAAAAACAGCACATATAACTGGAGTTAAAGGGGTTGACAACTCCCAGCATGCCTTTTGATGTCTAAACGTCTGGCTGTTGTTATTGTTGCAATTAATCCAGCGAAGATATTTTTAGGAGTCTACCATTCGTAAACACTTCATAGACTGGATTTGCTTCAAGTGGAAACTTGAAAAAAAAAAATCTATAAAAATATCAATGTCACCATAAACATTTATAGGCCAAATGACTATATGACTGAGAGAGTTGTTTTCAACTTACTCTTGAATTTCAATGGTTTTATCAAGTGAACTGGTATTTAATGTAGTCTGGGTAGTACTGTTTTTAGATGCCATGTATGATTTTTTATGTACTGATATTGTTTTTTTATCCCCTCTGATCACCACAACCATTTAAGAACAGACCCATTTTGGGATTTAAAAACGAGACAATCTTAGCCTTTTACAAAGGCTAATGTAGTGAATGTTAAGTAAGAATCAATTATCTTACAAAGCTATTGCACAAGCTTCGCCTAAAAGGGGCTTTTTGCACATAAAACAGTGAATAAATTTGGTATTATGCGGGAATTCAAACCATTCCTCTGGTCAAATTGGAAGCAGTCGATAACAGGAGGAGGAGCGCACCACCTATGTGGCCGAATGGGGAAACTGTCAAATTAGAAGCACATTTTGTTTATGGAAGAAATTCCACAAAGCAGAAAGAATCATGATTTGTCCCTATGTCATTTGTCCCAGTCTGTAAGACCCAAAAACACAAGCATGATTTCATCGCAAGCTGTACCAACGCACATCTGTGCGCTCAGATTTAGACCGCTCCGAACTGGCTTCTTGGAGAACCGAAGAGAATGTGTGTTTTTTTTTCCAGAGGGAGGCGGAGGCCTGACCCATTTGTCTTGGTCAGTCAGTACAGGCTGAAGTGAACAACATCTGTCATCACCTCATTATTCATCCAATGACATCTTTAAAAGCCCAAAAGTCGTCTAATTTTGGATCATTACAACCCTTTTAATGAAGCAAAGCTTCAATAAAACAATCCTCGAATCCTTAAAGCTGTCCCGTCTCTCTGCATCAGCCAGGATTGCTGCTAAGCTCAGGACTTGGCTGGGAATCAATAGAGGAAGTCCTAGTCTGGATGGATTGCTGCTGGGATTTCCTGCCTGGCTAGTAATACTGTTGGGCACCAAGTTACTACAACAACTCAATTCAGGCAAGAAGGCAAACAGACGGTTCGATCACAGCTCACAAACAATGGACCAAGAGTTTATGCAGCAACAGGATATTTGCGATGGCTGTTTTCACATGCAGATGAGCTCTGCGGCCCAACTTAGTACAACATATTAGTGTGTTAAGCAACTGTGAATGGACACTGTCGACTTGTATGCAAACATGCATCAATAAGCATGTAGACAATTGAGACTGTAGTGTGTTGGTGTCAGGCCATCACATCAACAATTCTGACCATTCCCCTTAATTACACTGAAAGGTTAAAGCAAATTATCAAACCACTTCATTTCACAACTATTGGGATGATTGACGTATTCAAATTCATGATAATTTTCATGATATGGCCGACAATAGACATTTGAATACAATTTAACAATGTTTCGATGTATACTAAAAAAACGTAAAGTAAATTCAGGCATCAACATAATGCACAGTGGGAAAATGGATATTCATTTTGAGATTTGCTAAAGATAACATTTAACGATGTTAATAAATTGTTTGATCCATTCAATTAACTTTAAGTGAGCATTGGGCCCCGTGAACACCGGTATTATGTGTTTTGGTCGATTGGATAACAAGTGTGTGATGCTAAACACAGGTGTAAATGGGATCTTAAATGTTGACTTTCCAGAAGTAGTCGAAAACGAATCCAACCGGATTTCTTTCATAGTGTAAACGCTCATGTGGCCAAATACATTCGAACAGCTGCAAAAGACGCCTACTCTCCGCCAACTGACTTAATGCGTAACCATTACGATTTAACATGAATTAAACTTTGTCGGCTGGAGACGCAAATTTGGTATGAAGACGAAAAGCGTACCAAGCGCAATGTTCGCTCAACATTCCTGATTTCTAACACACACACACACACTCACAGCGTTCGGCTGGTCTTGTGGCTGTCAGAGAAGAAATGAAAGCTAATGCTCCCCGTATGATTTCCTGTTTTCTCCGGTCGTGTTAATATCTAAATTGTGTGAGCTTATTTCATCCATCGATCCATTATCGAAAGATGCATGCATTTACCCGCCCATAGACCCTTAACTCAAAGAAATCAGGACAGAAGTGGTTGAAAGTGGACAAAAGAGATGGATTAAAACACCAGGTGTAAACTGCATTTTAATACCAGGTGTTAACAGGGCCTTAGATGACAGTATAAATGTAAAAAACTTTAAGCAAGTTATGGATTCTTTGCACTGCTGCACATTCTACCATGATCCATTTGAACCTCTAAAGCCCAGAACACACCAAGCCGACGCCAACGAACTAGCGCTTAGGGATGGGAGTGGGACGATAACCGGTTTCACGATAAACCGTGATAAAATGTACTGACGGTTAGTATTATCGTTTAAAATTTAATTATCATTAAAACCGTGTTTGATTATCACGATTTTAATAACTCACTGAATCCTGTCGGCCAGTCTGACGCAGGCGCGCAGCACGTAATATTTTTTTAAATTACTATTCGAGAAGGAATGGTGGAAGGCAGTGACCGTGCTCAGGAGATTTTTCAGCCTTTTAAAAGGACCAAATCTGAGGTGTGGTCATATTTTGGGTTTTACAAAAGTCCTGAGGGAAACTTGATCGAGGATGGTCACCCTGTCTGCCGAACAAAAAGTCACTGCAATAGAAACACTTCAAATCTGCCGAGTCATCTTGTGTGATCATCACCCGAACGCAAGGCAAGTTAACTTTGACCTCAATACCAAAACTACGTCTGGGAAACAATTGGGCACGAAATGTTGTTTTGAGTTGAAACATTTTATGTCACTCACTTGAAATAGACGTGAAGCTTCCGCGAAGAAAAGTTTGTAGCAAGTGGATTTGAGCCAAAGACGAACGAACAACTTCAAACAAGACTATTATTAAGAGTGATATTTTAAGGGATAGTAAAGTATAGATACATCACGTATTAAACCGATTTTATTTTTACCACATAATTACGGGGACATATTGAATTGATAATGAGATTAGCTAATGTTTTAAATCTTACCTATTTATGAATTCATTTTGTAAAACAATCGTCCAGACAAGATATATCTCACCAATATTATCAAACTCTGTAAACAATAAATCAACTCTGATTTCATTTTTGCAATACAATCAAAAACCGGAGACGCAAGACGGCAAGTTGTATTTGAATGAAACAAGAGCGCGCGTCCGTTGTGATATGGATGTGCGCGGTGTGTGTAATAATGTGTTGCTATTGACGACGGGCATTATAAAGAAGCAAATGCCATAGAATAGAATCTTGCTTAAAAAAACTGCATAGAGAGGCTTGTTTTATTTGTTGTTTGTTGATTTTCAATTATAAAACTTGTTGAAATGTTTTCAGTGTGAGCATCAGTTCTTTTTGAGCACTTTCATAAATTTTTAACAAAACCGTGATAATATTGATAATCACGATTATTTTGGACACTATAATCGTGAAATGAAATTTTCATACCGTCCCATCCCTACTAGCGCTGATGAAAACCGACTGTGTTGTCGCCTCTCGTCCGCTCTCGTCGAGGTAAAAAGCTGCACTTGAACACACCGAGAGAACCGCAGCCGACTGTCAGCTAGAATGTGCGTTCTGCGCCTGCGTTTAATGAGCCAACTGTCTATTTTTGCAGATATATTAGTCTATATTCGTCATTCAAAAAGGAAAACTGACGCTGCCGGCTGCAGATACACATAACGTAAACAAAGCAGTGCGTGCTTACCGTTTAGAATATCAATCCTGCTGAACACTTTCTCTATTCCACTCCGCTCATGTTAATATTGAAATATTCGCCGAGGAACACTCACGTAAGAAGACGCAACATAAGAACAGCCTTCTATCTTTACCGTTTTGACTTCTTTGTTTGCTGTTTTGCTTTTATTCTTGTGCACTGACTCTTTCACTAAGCTGAACAGCCAATCAGAGTTCTCTCTTTCCCCAACGGCCCGACGCCGATTGAACATGTCGAATCGGGCGAAACAAAGCCGACGAGGACTATTTTCAGCCAACGGCAAGGAACCGTAAGATCACACCGAGGAAACTTAGTTGGCCGACGCACAAAATCTGCCAGACGGCCGGCCGTCGGCTCGGCGTGTTCCGGGCTTAAGGTTTCGAGAAAGAGTGAAAGACCCCAAAGCTCCATGGACGCATAAAGGAAAAGCATCTGTAGTCCTAGAGCACACCAGACCCTAATGAGTTCCAGCTCCACATCAAAAAACAGAGCCGTGAGCAGAACTCTGCTGCTACATGAGGTGGAGCCTATTGTAAGAGATGATTCATAACTGTGTTCATCCTTTAATCACACAAGTAAAGATGCTGCTTTCATCCATTAGTTCGATTTTGCACCACCTTCGATTAAGCACATCCTGGAAGTGAACACTAGAAAAGGAAAAACGTACCTTGTTCGGTTACCGCGGGACGTGAGTGGGCCAAGGGGAGGTGAGCTAGAACAACCCACAGGAGAAGCAAATGCCATGACTTCATCATCCTGAGAGAAGTCATGCCACGGCAGCTGGACGAAGAGGGTGGGCCGAAACAGCTCATTCACACAGCTGTGGGCAGCGCTGGGCCATCAACACCAGCAGCATAGAGCTACCTGCCAAAAAAAAAGGGAAAGAGAATGTGTAGAGGAAATAGTCTAATATGGTTTGCATGGTAATAAGTAAAAAACAAACTTTTCAAAGGAATGATCTGTCTTTTTTGAAAACATTTCCATTAACTAACTATGTTGGAGAGTTCTGGTTGGTTAAAAATAAAGGTTCTTTATTGGCATCTATGACTCAATGAAAGACCTTTAACATTCATGGAACCTTTCCACTGGAAAAAAGGGGTTCTATGAAAGAACAGAACTGTTCACTTGAAAGGTTCAAGGAAATCAAAATGATGGTTCTATTTGGAACCTTGAGTATACTGGCCCGCCCCGAAGTCTCTTATTCAGGTTCCTAGATATGATTAGATTTGGAAAGTTGGAATGATCTTTAGGAGTTGAGTGCATATGTACACCAACACAATGTAAATACCACTGAGAAACTTTAATTTTGGGGACATGTTCATTAAATAAGCCTAGCAATCAAATTTGTATTAGTTATAAAAGTAATGGTAAATGCTAACTGCTTATTTAAGTTTCTATGACTTTAGCTTACAAAGTTCACTAGAAAACACTATTCATCTAGCAGACTGTGGCAACAGTCTTGCACAATAAAACTCCATGTCCACTAATTCACTGTAATGCTAAAACTTACATAAATATCTAATATGCAGGCTTTACTCTTAATTTTGTGTATAGACCCATTTTATTCTGACCAAAACCACTTGAACACACATCACATCACAAATTATGATTTACCATCCAGAAGGACTACATAATGCAGTCTTTGTAAGCATAAGCGACTTCTTTCAACAACTTGTAGTTTGAACACTATTGTAAATTTCCACTTATAACTATATCAAAGAGCCACCAAACATTAGCCAGCTACACTCATGCTCTGCTTACAAAGACCAGACCCCTCTCATTCACTGAAATAATACGTCACCTGGCCATAAAGTCCATCTGGAAGTCATTAATTTGACTTCTAAGGCTGCTTCATTGCTATTAAATATTAAGTTTGATTAGCATTGACAACTGTTTACGCATCAATTGACCACACCAGCAGATGAAAAATTAAAAACAATTATCCGTATTTCAATGCAATAAGCATTCTTTGACATGAAATGTGAATTTACCTTTAAAGGGATACTCCACTTTTTTTTTTACTTTTTTTTTGGAAATAGGCTCATTTTACAACTCCCTCAGAGTTAAACAGTTGAGTTTGACCATTTTCGAATCCATTCAGCCGATTTTCTGATATTTAGAAGAATACCAGTAACTAGACCGTTTCTGGTCTCATTGACTTCCATAGTAGGAAAAAATATATGGAAGTCAATGAGACCAGAAACTGTCTGGTTACAGATATTCTTCTAAATATCAGAAAATCGGCTGAATGAATTCGAAAACGGTAAAACTCAACAGTTTAACCCTCAGGGAGTTGTAAAATTTCCAAAAAAAAGTGGAGTCTCCCTTTAGGAAAAGCTACAAGCCTACGTAAGTCTGTAACTCTGAGTCAATAAAACATCACAAATCCAAAACTAATTTAAACATGGTTTTCCCGTACAAGAATGAAGCCAACAGAGGCCCCAAACCCCTCGACCCCTCACCCGACAGCAGCTGCCCCCCTGAGTAGGTGTAGAGAGGCCATCCCGGTGGTGTGAAACACATCTGTTAATGCTATGCCCCCCTAAGACTGGCCACTTGACACTTGGCTTTCCTTGGGATCCCAGTCACGCCTCCATCCCTGCCAAACGTTTCCCAACAAAAGACCCGTAATCTGGCGGTTGTTTTTGTATCCCCTCCTCCAATAATCGCACTGCAAACCATTTGCTCTCGCACCTTCAACTCTACCCACAATCTGATACAAAACAACTTGATGCCATATGTTCTGCTCTCATTACTATAAGAGTGTGGGAAATTAGAGTATTAGTGAATGCAAACAAAGACAAAGCTGTTTCAACTGATAGATTTGCAGCGTGGCGGCATTAGCACCTTCGTTGCATGGCTCGGTCTTGCCCAAGTGCGTTTAAAATACTCGACCGTGATCCGTTTTCATCTGGAGTTAAAGTACCACAACATCCCATCGTCTTAATTGTGATCACCTAATTAGAATGATAAACGAGGGATGTTCGTCCATTACTGAGAGCTGTCGTACAGACTTCATGCCAAAGTAATTCAGCTGAAGTGCGACCTCTTGGCTACATGAAGAGATTGTCGCTCTGCGGTGGGTGGCGACCCTGAATAAAAAATCCTAAATGCTAGTGTGCAGCAGGTTTATGGTAAGGCCATAAACGCAGTTCATTTACCTCACAAGCGCTGTCCATAACCATGTCAAAGTAGTCAAATTTAAGAATCTCTTAAACTGATGAGAATGTGGTACTTTTCACAGATGAAACTGCGGCAGGCTGGCGAGATTCAAAGAAATGTTATTGGCTAAGCTATAAAAGTGTTTTGCAACAACAGTCACGAAACAGTATTAAAAAATGTGTGAAGTTCTAGAGGGATAATAGCTTACACGTTACATAGTTCTACCAGCAGTCTGAAGGATTTTGCAATCACGCTTCATTGCTTGTGCTTTTTCATACTTGATGTCCAGGAAACAAGCCATTTCCAATTTTACCACCACCACCACCACCACAAAAAAAGAAAGAATCAGCTCTACTACTCTCTAATGTATGGAAACTTGCCAAGTAACAAATAAAAAAAAGGTCATTGTGACTTTCTTCCAATTCTCCTTGCAATTGTGAGTTTCTCACAATTCTGACTTTTTTCCTCAGAATTACGAGTTTATATCACAATTCTGGGTTTACATGTTTAAACTTGCAATTGGTAGAAAGTCAGAATTGTGGGATGTAAACTAAATTGCGAAGAACTGCCAGTTTATAAGTATAATAAATAAGTATTTATAAATCACAATTCTGAGAAAAAAAATCCAAATATGAATGGAAGCTTCTTTTTCCTGACTTTAAAACGTGCATTTGTAAGAAAAACTAAAACTAAAAACAAAATGTTTAAAACATAAAAAAAAGAATGCATGCACATTACAGATTAGCAAATAAATTGAAATGTTAAATATATAAACTGCAAATAAAACCGATAATAAAATGATATATTTAAAAAAATTACACTAAAATGATAAATAGTTTTAATTTGTTTTATATTTGGCCCAAAATAAGCCTGGAGTAAATTCTTTACTTGATACATGTACTATTCTCTCATGGAAGCATCTTCTAAACGGATAAACGCAAATGAAGAAACTTATACTCAACTATCACTATCAATAGCATTGAAACCAGCAGTCCTTTCAGAGCTCTCCACAGTAATGCAAGAGAAGCATTTGAAAAGCCCATTGTGATAATTAAAGGTTGGGATTTGCTCTGTTCCCTACCCCCCTGAGAGTCCAGCCCGGACCCTTAATTGCTATGCTGCTGCATCCATGCATGACATTCCTCGACTCTGTGTTTGTTTTGGGAGATAGTCATGCAATCCACCCCAGGACCCCACCAACCCAGAGCAACCCCCTGCTCTCGACCGCCTGGGTAGTTATCAGGCTTTACACCTGTAATTGTATAGATTAGGGAAGGAAATCCAAGTGAATTATTTTCCCATTTCCCTTCCTATCCACACCTCCCTTGCCTGATGAAAACCAAAAACCCCCAAAAATGAAAATAACATAAGTGTGCGCTGCAGTGAAGTTTCATAACCCAAATGTGAGGGAATATCTAAAACTCTAAAGCTTCAGCTGCATGCAGTGAATATCCAGTTATGCTGAAAGTGATACTGAGAAGATTACCACGAGGAAACCGGTCACAGCGGGTGATTCAGAAGCCTACTGACCAGGTGCATGGATGCAGCTTGTCTTTCAGCGCATCCAATATTACACATTCAATTTGGATGGACTCCAGTTGACACAGTCGACAGTGAGATTCGGCTGTAACTCAGCACGAGTGCCACAATAAGTCAAGATGGGCTCCTAGAGGAGGGGGGTTGCGGTTTTGAAAATATCAGTTTAATTTATGAATCATCTCTGAAACGAAGTAGTCATCCTCAGAGATGCTGACACATGTTAGATAAGCAATTCAATGATTCATTCTTGATCAGAAAGTGGCCCCAATAACATAAGGGACTGACTCATTATTAATGGGTTCTTGACTAAAATGTTTTGACTGAATCATTGAATGTATCTTACCCCTTCAAGTCGACAACAAAAGTTAGTAAGGGAACATCAGCTCAGTTGTGACACAAAAACCTCCTGATTTATCATTAACACAGAAACAGATCACCCTGGAAAGGTTTGTTTCCTCAAGGAACACAATACATCCATGACAAACACTGGACAGACAATGCCACCTAGGGTTTTACAGCTCAAAATAGGTCACTTTTCATATTCATTGATATGCAAATTAAGGGAACACAATGTAGCATTCTTATTCTACTCCTGCTGTGAGCACCTATTCAAGGTTTGTCTCTTCATGAATGTGCAAATACAATGGAAATGAGAATGATTTACTTAAAAAAAATACAACTATACATAGGCTATGTAATGTATATGAGGTTGCTTATTATATAAATATAAAGGCTATACTTCTGTACAAACCCATCCATCTATATAAAATTAGCACAAATTAACACGTCTTTGCAAAAAAAAAAGTTTCTTTAAAATATGCGGATATAAAAGCGTCTTAAGATAAATATCAAGATTTTATGTAGCCCCTTTTCTCTAGGCTGTTCTCGTTCATCACATCAATAAAAATTAACGCTAAGTTACAGCATCAGACCTACACGAAAGATGTTGAGGTTCTTCCCAAAGTTAAAAACACTCACCTCTGGATGTTTTTCTGAACACTGGGTTGTGTTGAAGTGGACTTCTTCTTGGGGTTATTTTGGTTTGTAAAGCATTACTCCACAACAAGCGATCTCCGAAGAAAATGCCCCACGCTGAAGTGAATCAAAACAAGACACCCAGACAGATTTCTTCCAACGCGTCTGTTTTTGCAAAAGTAGCGAGGGCAAAAATGAGTCACGTTTAAACTAGATGAAACAAACACAAGGTTTTGGTCCAGGTGCGTAGATGAACCGTGAGAAAACTTCCACGTATTTGCTGTTAGGGAATTTTTCATTCATAAACTCACACGAGTGCCTCGCGGAATACGAAAATTCAAAGAGTCAAACCCGAAGTAAACTGCAGCAAATGTTCGTGTTTGTCTTGCGCTTTCTCTGTCGATCACAACAGCGTTTCTTCCCCTCGAAAGGAATATGAAGGAGTTTTTTTTTCTTTGTACCTCCCACTTCCAGGATTTGAGGATTCAAGAATTCCACTGCCCCTTTAACCCCCCCCCCCCCCCTTTACCTCTGAAACTCAATGCAGATGCGATAGATAGATAGATAGATAGATAGATAGATAGATAGATAGATAGATAGATAGATAGATAGATAGATAGATAGATAGATAGATAGATAGATAGATAGATAGATAGATGGATGGATGGATGGATGGATAAACAATGAGTTGGTCACTGAATAAGTCTCAGCTCGATATAGATAGATAGATAGATAGATAGATAGATAGATAGATAGATAGATAGATAGATAGATAGATAGATAGATAGATAGATAGATAGATAGATAGATAGATAGATAGATAGATAGATAGATGGATGGATGGATGGATAAACAATGAGTTGGTCACTGAATAAGTCTCAGCTCGATATAGATAGATAGATAGATAGATAGATAGATAGATAGATAGATAGATAGATAGATAGATAGATAGATAGATAGATAGATAGATAGATAGATAGATAGATAGATAGATAGATAGATAGATAGATAGATAGATAGATGGATAAACAATGAGTTGGTCACTGAATAAGTCTCAGCTCGATATAGATAGATAGATAGATAGATAGATAGATAGATAGATAGATAGATAGATAGATAGATGGATGGATGGATGGATGGATGGATGGATGGATGGATAAACAATGAGTTGGTCACTGAATAAGTCTCAGCTCGATATAGATAGATAGATAGATAGATAGATAGATAGATAGATAGATAGATAGATAGATAGATAGATAGACAGATAGACAGATAGACAGATAGACAGATAGATAGATAGATAGATAGATAGATAGATAGATAGATAGATAGATAGATAGATAGATGGATGGATGGATGGATGGATAAACAATGAGTTGGTCACTGAATAAGTCTCAGCTCGATATAGATAGATAGATAGATAGATAGATAGATAGATAGATAGATAGATAGACAGACAGACAGACAGACAGACAGACAGACAGACAGACAGACAGACGGATGATGGATAAACAATGAGTTGGTCATTGAATAAGTCTCAGCTCCTAATTGGATTCTTTGGAGCAGTTAAACACAGTCAACAGCAGCACTTAACGTCAGATAGGGCTGAAAATATGAACTGCGAAAACAAATAAAGACTCCATTTACTGTTAAAGTCAATAATTACCCAGTCAACTGTATTCATCAGTGTCCTGTGAAGTCCATAATTTTATAATGGACATTGAAACATTGTTTCTTGCATTCAAGTACTGTCTCTGCAACAGTCATGTAAAATACATATTGGCCAAAGTAAAATAATTACTTACATTTTTACTTATGTGAAAATGATTTCCATCTCGATTCCTTTTTGTGTGTGTTTATGTTTTATCACAGCCTCTAAGCATTATGGTGGTAAAGTTTGCACAAGTAAGAACTTTTTGTTTTGTCTGAAAATGTAAAAACTTAAAAATAAAAAAATAAATAATTTTTTTTTACTAAATATTAGTGTGTCTTGTGAATTAAAGATTTGGTCACACAAAATTTCTGATCACTAAGAAGAAAAACAGAATATCAGCTCAAGACTTTAAGTGGGTTTGATTAATTACCTTTTTACTGTGACACCGTTGTATTTTTCAAACAGCTCCCCATGAAGTGCTTTACATCAACATTCAAGTCCATTTGCTCACTTCCTTTTAGAGTGAATGTATCTCCATCTGCTGAAATAATCCCACTCTCTCAATACACACGCCACATCTCAGAGCCGCACCTGCTTTATTTATGAACGTCTGATGTGGTAAAAGGACGACGTGGATCATAGAAAAACCATCTAGTTCGGGTCTAGGTCCCACAGCATTAACATCTGGAGATCCATTTACAGGGTTTTCCAAAGCAGCGTGTATGTGTGCTGAGTTTTAGAAGGCTAAACTCAAGAACGCTTGGTTTGTGTTCAATGTGTATGGGGGAAAAAAGTATTTATTTGACTCATCTCAGTGAATTGTAATCCACACATGTTTTACTGGGGTGTGTTGGTACCTTTTCGAGAATTAAGAGAAATATCCATAAATCTTTCGATATTCGGAGATTAAAAAATATATATTCCAAAGGGTTTGAGTGTGGTTTTTGTACTTCAACAAAGCAAAATAAATAATTCTAATGAAATTGTTATACACCAATATATGACTGTACTTAAAGGGATATTGACTTCCAAAGTATGACTTGGAAAAAACCTATCCCTTTAACGGCAGGAAATACTGATCATCATCGACATTCCAATGGCTAAAATGTTAATTGTGTTGTTTTTTTTTTAATAAAAATGCACTATTCAGAATTTGAAAATAACATAAAATGGTGTGTTTGATTTGTTCCAATCAATAACCCGAGTAACACTTCCATTTAGTTTGGACACAGTCCTGCATTACATTATAAGCACTCAAGAGGAAAGACGTTTACTGCTGTAACTGAAGGGTCAAACATTGGTTAAATCACAAACAATGAGGTGACATTTCCACAGTTATCACTGTAACTGGCAGCAGAATCAATTCAGGACAATCGGTAATGCTAGAACTAGCATTTTAGCTGTTCTGCTCCCGTTGATTTATGCCATAATTGAGAGGGTTTTGGAATCATGGGGTTGATCGATCTAGATATATTATATTAATTGACAGTATTCATCAACCTAACAATAGATATCAACAATGAACGTCAGTCTTTGAATGTGTCACAAACCATACTAACACATGGGATATTTTATACTTTTTTTCCTAGTGTACAGGACCATATGAGAAGGTCATCTATCTCAAAATGACGCTGGAGGCAGATGCAACCATTTTGTCAGAAGTATTGATTTCCTCTGCTTATTTTCATCTCATTTATCAGGGAGTGGCTGGACTTGTATCTTGTATCTAAAACTTTTATCTGACCTTTCAAAAAGTGGTGAACAATGGCAGCAAATCTGTGCCGAAGACAAAAGGCAAACTAGGTTTGAAATATATAGACTTGTCACTAGACATTACGTAGCCCCGCCCCTTTCAGCACTGTGCTCATTGTGTTGTCTTCCATAAGGTAAGATCTTATAAGATCTTAATCGGTCGTTTTATGAACATGAACATTGCTCCTCAACACTGATCCTCAACATCTCGTCTCCAAACCAGCGTGATTACTTCGACTTCCAAACAGATTGAAATGGACAAATACTCTTAATGTTTTGATCCAATTTGTTTTGTAATGCTACCCGAAGCATGGCTACCCGGACAGAGGAGAACTGGCCCCCGATTGAGGCTGGTTTCTCACAAGGTTTTTTTTCTCCATTCAGTCACCTGATGGAGTTTTGGTTCCTTGCCTTGGCTTTTGGCTTGCTTAGTTGGGGACATTTAATATTCAACAGTATTATTGATCTGTGTTGTATTATTTTCATGTTATCACTGTGAAGCTGCTTTGATACAAAAAGCGCTATATAAATAAAGGTGACTTGACTTGACTTCACCAGCTTACTCTTCGACAGCGGTGCCATAGAAATATACAGAGCAAAAATCTAAGGTTGACTGCGCGCTTGTTTCATTAGGTCTAAACCACGTAATCTACACTCTTAAGGAAAGGTTCTATAGACCCCTTTTCAGTTGGTAAACACGGTGACGTTTTTAAGTGGGCGGAGCTTAGGTGGCGGCAGAACGATCCCTCTGGCCGCTTCACTAACGCTAGTTAGCAAGTTTTATTAGCTTGTTTCTTTAACAATGACTGTGGAGAAAATCAGATTTTATCCTAATGTGTAAGGTCACTCACTGTCCCGGACCGCGATTGTTATTTTCAAAAGTTCATTTTAACGGACAGAACCAGATTGGCCGACCCGTAGCCTTCACACGCTCACTCAATGCATGGACGATCTGACAGGATTAACGTACGTTACCTCGGTTGAGTGGCCTGACTTCTGGACCTACCTTATAGAGAAACCGATCGTAAAGAGAAACTCAGGGCATATAAATCTTTAGATGCCTATAACTATGTGCTGAATGGTCATGTACAAGACTTTTGTGTACGATCCGCAGTTCTGCCGAGCCAGCGCCGAGAATACGACAATGTAAATGTGAATATTTGCTAGAAATAAAAATTCCAGTTACAGCATATTCATTTTTCATCGATTCCTGCACCAAACAACACAACAAGATGACATTTAATAATAATAAAAGTAATTTAAGCTCCTTATTATGTAGCCGAATCTGTGCTGGTTTGCATTGGCCGCCTCCAGTTTTCACTTTGTTTTGCCTCCATGCTAGCGCCGTGACGTAACTGTGACGTCGGCGCAAAAGGGGTCTATAGAACCTTAAAGTCCACCTGTGGTTTAAATCAAGTTTTTAATGTTGTTTGTATGTCTATGTGGTGTTTTTAATAAGCTTTAAGACAAACCATGTGTTCACAAGTCAACACCATTGCTGAGTATTTTCTCCTTAAAACTGCAGTGAACCAAAGACAGTCTCAAAAACTTTTGAAATCGCTGGTGTTTCTGACGTCACAAACTGTAACCAATCAGATCAACGTATGATGGTCAATGAGTGGGTCTTTGAGCTGGTGTGAGTGAGTGGAGGCGGGGCTCAATTGCATAATTACCACATACTAAATGAGGAAAGAGTTCTATATAAAACTCAGTTGAAGTCATTGGCTATTTGTGATGTATTTATATTTGATTAAAAATAATTTTTTTAAAAACACACCTTTTAAATGTGGACTAATATGCACAGATGAATATAAAAGCTTGTTTCTGACATGGAATAAAATGGAAAAGGGAATAGTAACTATCTCGCAATTCAGATTTAAAAAAAATAATACATGAACAATTCGAAGGAAAAAAAGGTCTGAATTGGCTTTATGCCCAGCTGCACTACTTCCTGAACTTCAGCCAGCTTCTTGTTTCCTGTCTGCCATTATTGGCCAAATTGATTAATTCAGGTGTGTCTGATTATTGTTGCGTTGACTAAGCACACCTGAATTAATCAATTTGGCCAATAATGCCAGACAGGAAACAAGGAGCTGGCTGAAGTTCAGGAAGTAGTGCAGCTGGGCATAAAGCCCATTGCAGAATATAAATTACTTTTTTTTTTTGGAAAAAAAGTCAGAATTGTATGGAAGCTTGTTTCCGCCACTGAATGAAAAATATAAAAGGTAATTGCGACTTTTTATCTCACAATTCGGACTTTTTTTTCTCAAAATTGTGAGTTTACTTCTCGCAATTCTGACATTATTTCTCAGAATTGCGAGATGGAAAGTCAGAATTGTGAGATATAAAGTCAGAATTGCGTGAAATAAAGTCGCAATTGCGAGATATAAAGTCGCTGCGAGATATAAAGTCAGAATTGCGTGATATAAAGTCAGAATTGCGAGATATGAAGTCAGAATTGCGAGTTATAAAGTCAGAATTGCAAGATATAAAGTCAGAATTGCGAGATATGAAGTCAGAATTGCGAGTTATAAAGTCAGAATTGCTAGATATAAAGTCGCAATTTATAAAGTCAGAAATGCATGATATAAAGTCAGAATTGTGAGATTTAAACTATTCTGAGGGGGAAAAAAGTTAGTCTTTTTTCCCCTTAGAATTGGCCTAATAAGTCACAATTGCGAGTTTATATCTCACAATTCTGAGAAAAGATGTCAGAATTTCGACATATAAACTCGCAATTATGTGTTATAAAGTCAGAATTGCGAGATGTAAACTCGCAATTGTGAGAAAAAAAAGTCACACTTCTGTCTTTTTTTCTCAGAATTGCGACTTTATATCACACAATTCTGACTTTATAACACACAATTCTGACTTTATAACTCGCAATTGCGACTTCACGCAATTGTGAGAAAAAAAGTCAGAATTGTGAGAAAAAAAGTCAGAATTGTGAGATTAAAATGTCACAATTATTTATTATATTTTTTTATTCAGTGGCGGAAACAAGCTTCCATAGGGGGAATTGTGATATAAATACGCAACGCAATTGCAAGTAATCAGTTCAGCACACTCTCGAGATATAAACTCACAATTACCTTTTTTATTTTTTTATGTCATGCTGGAAATAAGCCATAGTATGATGAATGTTTAATTAAAAAGCAAATAGGGTCAAGTAAATATTTTGATTTATAAACATTTATTTAGCTATTGGCTCTTTAGACACATTCCTCTCACCAGATTCCAGCATTTTAATTCAACCACTGTTACCCTCTAAAAACAGGCCGTCTGTGTCTGTACTCTCACACCACAGCCAGACAGGAACACGCTCAGTAAACACTCCAGAGTTTTAAATGTGGCAGTTTTACTGGGCATCCCCTGGAATGACCTTGGAGCTCGGCTTTAGGCATGCTCAATAAGGAAAAATATTATATTGACCCCTAAAAGTGGCAGAAAAATTCAACTCATTAGATTATATAATAACATTTTGTTCCAAACTAACATTCAAGTCCAAGAGGTTTGGTTATTGTTTCAGTGAGCAGCAGCATTTATGTGGTGACACACTGTCCTGTTTTTAAGTCACCATGAAATCAATATATTATAAATTATTTATCAGTGTACATCATTTTTTTTAAATTCATTAATTAAAATAACTTCTCCTCCCTCTTCAGTAACATCTCCTCTCTTATGATGACGTGTTTACTGGTGTGAGGGTGGGGCAATCTGTCACTCACATGAGCTTGACCAATAGCAAACCACAACCATCTGACAAATTCCTAATGGACAAAATCAAGCCCCGCTCCACATTTTTTCTTGTTCGAAAAGCCATTTTGCTCATTTAAACATCAAGAAAAAACTATTGAACCTTCTGTTTCATGCTGACTTTAACCCTGGAGAAAAATTAGTGGAAAGCAATAATTGGCTCAGGTCTGTTCAATTTTGAGGTCTAGAAACTTTTTTAATCCCACAACATTTTACTTTTTCACACAAGGCTTTATGCTTATTTCTCACCATCCTGGTTTGTGCAACTCTTATTTTTTCAAATTGTGCATCACAGGTTAAAAAAAACAAAACTGTTGATACTTCGTAGTTTTAGAAGATGATGCACGCTATTGTACTTTAATAATACAGTTTGCCAAGTACATTAGAATTAGAATACAAAAACGTTAGGCGGTTTGTTTATTGGCATAATTTCTTCTGGAAACTATGGTCATTTTGCTCTGCTCATCCATAATAACAGGCATTCATTATGGTGAAAATGACAGGCTGGGAGTGGGTTGCCACCCTAAGATTTTTCATAATGACACACAGTCTTCATGGTTTATGGTCTTCATGGTTTTGTTTTTGCTATCGCTTCTGTCCTTGTTTTGCCACCGACTTTGACCTTACGCTCAATGTTCTGAAACGACAAGGTGCTTATCAGAGAACTAAATGCTGATGTTTCAACAAATATAAACTTCTCAATTATATGTTTGCAATACAAATTCATGGTTGACATTTAAGGATCGCCCCCTACTGGCAAACGTAAAGCAAAACATATACATATGAATATACATTTACCTAAAAAAAGGATTATTAGGAACACCACACTAATACTGTGTTTGACCCCCTTTCGCCCCCAGAACTGCCTTAATTCTACGTGGCATTGATTCAACAAGGTGCTGAAAGCATTCTTTAGAAATGTTGGCCCATATTGATAGGATAGCATCTTGCAGTTGATGGAGATTTGTGGGATGCACATCCAGGGCACGAAGCTCCCATTCCACAACACCTCAAAGATGCTCTATTGGGTTGAGATCTGGTGACTGTGGGGCCATTTTAGTACAGTGAACTCATTGTCATGTTCAAGAAACCAATTTGAAGTTATTCAAGCTTTCTGACATGGTGCATTATCCTGCTGGAAGTAGCCATCAGAGGATGGGGACAAGGTGGCCATAAAGGGATGGACATGGTCAGAAACAATGCTCAGGTAGGTTGTGGCATTTAAACGATGCCCAATTGGCACTAAGGGGCCTAAAGTGTGCCAAGAAAACATCCCCCACTCCATGATGAATCCATGTTCTCATTCTGTTTATGCCAAGAAGAAAACTGTTTACATCAACAGAAATCGAGACTCATCAGACCAGGCAACATTTTTCCAGTCTTCAACTGTCCAATTTTGGTGAGCTCTCTAAAATTGTAGCCTCTTTTTCCTATTTATAGTGGAGATGAGTGGTACCCGGTGGGGTCTTCTGCTGTTGTAGCCCATCCACCTCAAGGTTGTGCGTGTTGTGGCTTCACAAATGCTTTGCTGCATACCTCGGTTGTAACGAGTGGTTATTTCAGTCAAAGTTGCTCTTCTATCAGCTTGAATCAGTCGGCCCATTCTCCTCTGACCTCTAGCATCAACAAGGCATTTTCGCCCACAGGACTGCCGCATACTTGATGTTTTTCCCTTTTCACACCATTCTTTGTAAACCCTAGAAATGGTTGTGTGTGAAAATCCCAGTAACTGAGCAGATTGTGAAATACTCAGACCGGCCCGTCTGGCACCAACAACCATGCCACACTCAAAATTGCTTAAATCACCTTTTTTTCCCCCATTCTGACATTCAGTTTGGAGTTCAGGAGATTGTCTTGACCAGGACCACACCCCTAAATGCATTGAAGCAACTGCCATGCGATTGAACAATCCTTTAGGTGAGTGTATATATCCATGATTCCCTTGATTCCCTATAGAGAAGATAATTAATATATAATACTATTAATATATATTGACATACATATGTGTATACATATGCATATATCAAAGTCATACATGAATTTTGAACAATACCTTGTCTTAGATGAATTTAAAAAATACACACATATATACAGTATATGACAGATCTTGTTGATGCATTTAGACAAACACATTGTTAGAGTTGACATTAGGTTATTACTCATTACATTCATTTCAACATAAAAACTATATAAAGGAACGCAAACTGAACACATATTGGAGATTTTTTGTACAATGACCCACATAAGAGGCTTCTCATTTGACCTAAAATGGCCTGTCGTCATTTCTAATAGGGATGATATTCTGTATTGATGAGGAGGTTTTCTGCTTATTGATATAGCTGCATTAGATTGTCTGAGTTCTCTTTAATTTCAATGAAACTCACAAGTGAACAGATTCGTTGGCGCCAGCCGCTGCTTTGATAACACGTGGAAGTCATGTAGACATAGAGCGGTGCAAGTGATTTAGGCTACACATGGCAAAAACGCAGATTCACATTCATAATCAATCAGAATCAGAATTACAGTAGAGTTCAATAAAAGTCCCAAAATAAATTCATTTTTAATCAGGCACAATGTGCATAACACATGTTAGCAGTGCTGGCCAGAGAAAGATGTGTTGGTGGTATCGCATGAAACTGATCAAAGACTTCATCACCTGTTAATGATTAGCGCTTGGAGACTTATAGCTTTATGTAGTTCTTTGCAAACGAAATGTATTTTTGAAAACTCTGCGACCATTTCACGTTCACAGCTAAACTGTCAGGTTCTTCCAAACTTTTCTTTCTTTATAGAGGAAACATGGTTTTGGAAGCTACTACGACGGAACATGACATCCAAATTCCAAGGTTTGTGGTGTCTGTTAGTTGTTTTATTCTTTGTATTTTGAATGAATCTGGATGTGCTTAGTCCTCCGAGCATTCAGGAAGTGTTAGCGCAACTTTATGCCACATTGGCAGTGATAGATGCTAAGGAAAGCAAAATGCGGTTTTGCCGGGCCGAGCATGGCCACACCCAGATCGCCACAAGGAGCAATCCGGCAAAGAACTGCGAGACACTGGCTATTCCAACGGAAAGCACAGAATTGTGCAAGATGCTATCATTTACAGTAAACCAATCTGCATGAAGATTAATGACGCATGATCATCGCAAACATTTGAGATCACATTGTGCGCTGTGGACGGCCACACAGCTAGAAATGCAGTAATGGTGAGGTCATGTGGTAAACGGTTGCCACTTCTGTCAGGATCGTCCATTAAATGGGAAATGCATCCAGTATTTTCAGTATCAGAGAGCCTGTCATTACTTGCAAAGTTCACAAGGGTTGCAGATTTTCTGAAAATTACATGCTTGCGTGGTTTAGCATCGTTGCATATTCACAATCCTCTGTGGTGCACCAACAAATGAAACGAGGACCTTAAAGAACAAAGGGCGAGTGAATACCTAGGTCTGTGGTCGCGCTGTGAATTCAGCACAGACGAGACACGGTTCGGCCAAAACCAGCCTGTTTTGGTACTTTCTGACCATGGCCAAAGTGCGGCTTTGTGCTGTCAAGAGGTTAGGTTGCCCGGTTCTTTCTATGACCTTGCATTTTTTCATGCTGAGAGAGTCACAGGAGTTTAAAAATACAAGTGGTGCTCACTGCAGAGCCAAATGACGTCCAGCTCCCCCTCTCTGGATATCATGGGTGGAGTTTGGCCTAGTCCAGCTCCACCTCTGTGCACCTAATGGGTGGAGCTTGACCTAATTGGGTAATGGGTAGGGTTAGGGTGGGCCTGGACCTTCAACCTCCACCCATTATGTCCAGAGAGGGGGAACTGGACGTGTAACTCCGCCTTTTGGCTCTGCAGTGTATAAAATTGTGAGTAAAAACAAGTTAAACAATTGACCTATGGCTAAGCCACGCCCCCTCCACTCACTCGGACAAACACGGCACGGGCGCTATGGCAGCTGTCACAGTAGGAGACATTTCACAGAAGGCAATTGGTGATTTTTGGAGACAGAAAAATTATATATCATCTTGAAGTCACCTAAAGGGCCTTAACTATGCATTGGAGGGTTATATTAATAATTTAATTGTTAAGAAGGTCGATGAAAAGCTTCAGCTCCAGGCAGAGATGTACAGGTCACAGTGTAAACATGATAAACCGCATATCGTTGCCATCACCGTTTGGTGCTACAGTATTTACATGAATCCTTCAGCACAACCTTGTTAACATTTGTTATCTCGGTTATTTACAGATATACGTTAATGAAGCTAATTGACATGATGTACAACGCAGCTAGATGCTAATGTTAATATTTTCTAATGTACGTCTAACGTTAGAGATTTTAAAGATAACGTTCAAATACGTTGCTGACTTAACTTAGATCAGATTTAGACATCCTTGTTTAATTAATCCGCGTTTAGTTGGTGTTGTGGTCTAGCTACCGCATAACTTTATACAGAGCAGACACTTATCTCGGTTGAGATGTGGCTTGGGAAAGGGTAAAAAAATACACACCGTCGCCCAGCCTCTCAGGAACAATAATGTGAGAGTTGCATGTACCCAATGCACACCGTTTGACCATTTTAAACATAAAATAACAAGAAAAAACGAATGAAAACTGACTAACTCCAATGCATTTCAATGGAAGTGGATGCAGAGAATGTCTGAGTGTATTAGGTTAGCTGCGCACTGTGATTGGCTCATCCCGTTTGAGGGCGTGGCTTAGCCATAGGTCAATTCCATCAGTGCCAGAGCCTTAAAATCTTATACAGTGTTGCTTCACAAGTAAATTTACCCTGTTTCAAGAATATTTAGATATTTTAATTGGAAAATTAGCCCAACCCCAGTGCTTCCAATTTCGCCCTTCTTTATTAGCAAATGCACACATTTTGATGGATGGATGGATGGATAGATAGATTTTTGAAATACTATAGAAAGATGGATGGATGGATAGATTTTTGATGGATGGGAAACAAAAGCTAGTAATAAGTATTGATAATAACTTATAACTTATAACTAATTAATAATTGATAATAACTACTTACTTTATTTGAAATAAATATTACAGAAAAGTAAAAAAAGCTTTAACTAAAATTAAAATAGCAAATAAAATTAAAAACTATTCAAAATATTAATAAAAACTATAATAGTGCTATAATGATACCAAAATAACACGGTTTCTTATAAGCAACTTATTGTTTAATGACCATGATCACTATAAACACTGTATTTTTTATCTTATTTTACAGTTAAACTGTCTATGAAAATCTAGAAAATTAGACTTATTAGTTACTCACTAGTAACAGGTGTTTTGCAAGGTCTTCCTAAAGCCGTGCAGGAGTTGCTAATGGTGTGAGGCACGATTTCTGCAATCTACCTCTGTATTATTCAGCATCCAGTCGTTTCTGATCGTGAGATGGATGGTAACAGGCAGAGAGGAGTTGTTGTGAATAACACAGGCTGGTCGGGAATGTTTCTGGGCTGGCGCTGGAGTTTGTGGCGGGGTCTGGGGCTGAGGTTTAGAGACAGTGCTGTGCTGCGAGAGCAGCTGGTGACGGGATGCTTGCCGAGGAGCCGTCCACATTTCCGTATATTTTTAACCTTGCCCCATTCTGAGGCGAGTGCCATCGGTCGCATCCTGAGGTCGAACACATGAGTTCAACCACTGCTGGTGTGGTAAATCTGTCAAAGAAGTGTACATTAGTTAAAGGGTTAGTTACCTAAAAATGAACATTCTCTCATTAATTATTAATCCTCATATTGTTCCAAACCTTAACCTTAAGACCTTCATACTTCGTAAGACCTTCGTTCATCTTTGAAACACAAATGAAGATATTTTTGATGAAATCTGAGAGCTATCTGTCCCTACATTGACACCTACATCATTGCAACTTTCAAGGCCCAGAAAGGTAATAAATACATTGTTAAAATAGTCCAGTGGTTCAACCTTAATATTATGAAGCGATGAGAATACATTTTGTGCGCAACCCCCCCAAAATAACGACTTTATTCAACAATCTCTTCTCTTCCATGTCATTCTCCTGTTGACGTAGTGTAAACAATGCAGCGATTCTGAGTTCTATGTCAGAACGTCAGCTCATTATAGAGCATCACAGTCTCGCTGTTACAGTGGAGGCTCCCGCTCCGCCTCCTCTCCGCCACCAGAGGGAGCCTTCACCAGAGTATTGACCATTGGCTTCGAACTCAAATTCCCATCATGCCTCTTACCTGGGACTGATTTGCCCCGGTGATCATTTCTGAGCGTTTATTCCTGTTTCTGGTTTTCTGGTTTTGACTTTGGACTGTTTGATTAATCTACGAGTGATATCTGCCTGGCCTGATCTTGGACTGTCTTTGGATTGTGATTATTGCTGCCTGCCCTGAACTCTGCCTGTTATCTGGATTATCCCTTCGCTCTGCCTGCATTGCTCTGTCTGCCTCGTTTTGACCCTGCCTGTACGACACTGTTTAATAAAAGCTGCAAATGGATTCTTCCGTGTCCCGTGAGTCATTACACTCGCCCACAGCCGGTGCCGGAAGTAAGAATTCAATACGATTTCTCCATTGACAGTTGGGATATAAGCCATAAAAACGTAACCATACATGGTAGACTTAAAGGAACACTCCGACTTTTTGGGACTTTAGCCTATTCACCTTACCCCCCAGAGTTAGATAAGTCCATACATACCTTTTTCATCTCCGTGCGTGCTATAAGTCTGTTTGACGCACCCACCGCTAGCCTAGCTTAGCACAAAGACTGGATGTGAATGGTTGCAGCTTTCATACTAATCCAAATGAGTGACAAAATAACGCAAACGTTTTCCTATTTACATGTTGTGGTTTGTATAGTCACAGAGTGTGCAAATATCAAGGCCATATGAGACACAGACATCTTTTGACCGTATAAATACTATTTTCTGAAGGCGAAGCACTGCTACTTGGGCAGAGTGATAACCATCACCTGAGACCGTGACGAGGAGCAGAGTGTTCGCTCAGTGTTGGAGTAAAGAGTCAGCAATTACTAACGTTAGATAGAAAAGCATAGTTTATCATGGGTATTTGCTTTATTGTATGAGCTGTGACAATAAACAGGGGAGACCAGGTAATACAGTACCATGTTTCATTGATTTCCAACCAAAAACGCACCCAGATTTATAAATATCACATGAATAAATAATTATTATTACAGGAATCAATATATTTTAAATGCAATTTATTAGCTGAACCAAATGTATTCAACAGTATATAATATACAGTATAATTGCATTACTATAGGATAGAATAAGGGGAAAGTAATAGCAAATGTTTTTGCACAATGAACTCACAGCCTATCGTACCCTTTTGCACGCTCAAGTTCGTTATTTCCATGGTTATTTCAAATTTAGGCTACTAGGCGCGCCGCGCGCAGGGTGCAAGTTCAGCGCGGTGAACGCGCTCGTTTTTTTTCCAAGCACGTCCGCAACGCATCAAGATAAAAACATTTTCATACCCTAATCATATAATAGTGTCACTAACGTTACATTAGCTCTGGCTAATGGCACTGTTAAAGTAGGTCATCTAAAAACATAACGGAACACTTACCTCAGCCGCAGGTGATCCACTTGTCCTGTCTGTGCTATCGATGGGATGGCCGTATCCTTCAGCACATTATGGTCCGTGTGGCAAATTCCATTTTTTCAAAATAGTCGTCCATTGAAATGTACCGAGCAAACATAATGTCCCTTGATAATCTATTTAGGTGTGTTTGGATCAATATCCAGAGTAAGTTAGCCATTTCTTCATCCAGTCAGCGTTTTTAGTTGGAATTCTGTGAAACATGGTATTACCTCCCCTGTTTACAGTCGCAGCTATTTACAATAGAGCGAAAACCCATGACTCTAAACTACGCTTTTACTATTTATAAATTGCTGACTCTGTTACCCAAACACTGAGCGAACTCTCCGCTCCTCACCACGGCGTGTCTCAGGTGATGCGGTTATTACGCCGTCAAAGTAGCAGTGCTTCGCCTTCAGATAATAGTTCCCAGGTTTTATACGGTCAAAAGATGTCTGTGTCTCATATGGCCTTGATATTTGCACACTCTGTGACTATACAAACCACAACATGTAAATAGGAAAACGTTTGCGTTATTTTGCCACTCATTTGGATTAGTATGAAAGCTGCAACCATTCACATCCAGTCTTTGTGCTAAGCTAGGCTAGCGGTGGGTGCGTCAAACAGACTTATAGCACGCACGGAGATGAAAAAGGTATGTATGGACTTATCTAACTCTGGGGGGTAAGGTGAATAGGCTAAAGTCCCAAAAAGTCGGAGTGTTAAAACCAGCTACGGCTGTACTAAGTGATTGTATATGCTCATATAAATGGCAAAAGTTCATAGGGCACTAACCTTGTTTCAAGATAAATGCCTTTTATTTGTGATGTATTGGATAAGTACTTCATTACCCACAATCCTGATTGGTGGAAGTCGTGTACTTGTCTGGTTAAACCCCGTGAAGGTCCGTGAAGACCAGTGGTGGAATGTAACGAAGTACAAATACTTTGTTACTTTACTTAAGTACATTTTTCACGTATCTTTACTTTACTTAAGTAGAATAAATAGTGCATACTTTTTACTTTTACTTCGTTACATTTTGCAGCAATTATTCTACTTTCTACTCCACTACATTTCTACAACTTCTGTTACATTTTCGTTACATTTTCTGATCAGTTTTTCCCCTGCCAAAACGTAATCTGACCATCCGTTCGTTGCACGTTTGTCTCACCAGTGACGTTTGGTTGCCATAGATACATCACCGGTCACACTAAATAAAATGCGCCTCGCACGCAGTGTGTTTATCGTACAATTTATACCCGAAAATTTGTTTTTACGTGCATAGGAAACGCACCGTGTGTAATATACGTTTGGTTAGGATTATGGCAAGCCAAGAGGTTTAGAATTACACCATAAATTAATCGCGTTTAATGCCAAAAAATAGTTATTAACATATAGTAAGGATAAGCATGATGTGTATATTGCCGAATTGCAAGCTTGTTTGAGAAATGATGACAACAATTTTTTTCCATAATTATTGAACATCATTATAGGAGTATTAGGGTGAATGAGTTAGAATTAAATGTTTTATTAATCATTAGAAAATAGACATTAAGAGAATAAATTGTTATGCAAGTACTTTTACTTTTAATACTTAAAGTACATTTAAAATCAGGTACTTTTTACTTTTTACTTAAGTATGGTTGTCATTGTGTTACTTCTACTTTTACTAAAGTAAATATTTATCTGGTTATTTGTACTTTTACTTAAGTACTGAGATTCAGTACTTCCTCCACCACTGGTGAAGACTGCAGATCGTGTAATGACGTAGGGCTAAGTTTATTGGTCGCACCTCAGAGACGCCCCCGCACCATTGGATGTCCATGTTGCCGCAGCACAGCCTATGAGCGAGCCAGATGCTCAATGTTTTAGCATGTGCAGCTGCAAACGCGTTTTACATATAAGTCAGTAAATCGAGGAAAAGGAGTTTCCCTGCACATTCACTATATAAAATTCACTGGAGGAAAAAGTTCAGATTTGGAAGTCACTCAAAAGGCTCTTTCACAGTGGCTTCAGTCGACTTCAGTGAGGCGCGGTGGTTTATGGGATGAGTAGTTCCTTTGCTCGGAAATATGAAAAATGAAAAATATGAAAGTAGCTGGTTATCCTCAGACATGCTCTAATACTCTTTAGATATGGATTTTACAAAACGTCAATGGGAGAAATTAATGGGAAATTTACTTCCGGCACCAAAGCTCTCTCGGACTGTGGACTCTATTGCCCAGCATCACAAGCATCACTCACAACTAGCGTCAGCCAATAGTGAGCCTACGTTCTGACATAGATTACTCATACTCATTCTTAATGCAAAGCACGCTTTTTTCTATTAATGCAGTTTTTAATGATATTAATGCAGAAATATATCCAATATATATAAACTATAGATGACAGAGCATTCTGTCTCAAACACTAAAGCTCAATGATCAAATAAATCCCCTGTGTGGGTGTTTTCTCCACTGTGGGACACACCATATGATTCATTAGTGTGCAAACAGGTCAAAACGGCGCCTGTGATCACCAGACACAAATCAAGCTCCTTCCATCCTCTCACGTACAGTTTGATGTTACAAAGTGCGTGTGTATGAGAGTATTTACACTTACGGTCTCTGTGCCACAGGCAGGGCCCCGGGGATACTTCGGTAAACCACAGGCACCTCTAAATCACCGGACTTCGGAGAAACCGGGACCAGTGCTTTCGTCAGCAATCAACAATGTTTATTGTTCAAGAAGTGAGCGAATGCTCTGCGGGATCCTGGAGCAAACAAATACACCACAGGGTATAAACACTGGCAGCCCCCCTCGCCCTCCACACAGGAAGAAGCTCTCCCTCTGCTGATGGGACAGCTGAAAACACACATGCCACACAACGTCAACACTCACAGCCCCATATAGAGACGTGTCAAATTCAGGATATCCGAAGTGGTGGACTTCATTTCCTAAACATGCATATTGATCAGTCATACATAAATGAAACAAACAAAATATCTGCACTCAAAAAATCATGGCATAGTTTATTATGAACTATTTGTATCAATTTGCTTTTAATAAAACAATCATATTTTCACATTTAAGATTACATACTTAAAATATGGCTAGCAGTGGAATAATGCAATAGTAATTTGTGAAAATGTATGAGATTCAAACAAATTTGATTTATGGATGAATGATAATAAATATACAAAGCTGGTTATTGTCTATTTAAAACACATTCATTTTATTAGTACTATTACAGAAATCCTGCCTGTTTCATTTATGTTTGACTGACAAATATGCATCACATTAAGTTTGTTAGTTTGTTTATGATTACACTATGCAATCCAAATGAATAGGAATGTTACATGCAATTCAAATACATACATTTCAAATTTGGGTAAACTCACAAAACAGATTTCTGAAGTTCTTTCAAGATTTGACAAGATGGTATCTGCATGGTTTCTGGCTGGTCCAGATAGTCGTTCTGTTTTCTAATGAGTGGAACATCCTGGTCAAGTTGGTTGGGGCATGTAGACCACCTCAAAACATCTGACGGAAACAATTTTGTTAATGTAATATAGTCATAAACACAGTTATAGCGAGAAGGACACTCAAGCAACTGGAAACGCCATGGGTTCGATTTCCCTGGAAAGTATGAATTGTTAAAGTGTATACCTTGAATGCAAAGTCACCTTGGATAAAAGCATCTGCCAAATGCATTAATGTAAATTTTGATCTTGATAATGAAATGTATAATGCGGGACAACCCTATCCACAAGTTTCCTACGCCCTCGTGAGGCCTTGCGTCAAAAGTGGGCGCGACTTCCGGTTGGAAGTAAACAAAGCGCGATTTGACATGCTTGACACTCGTTCATTCAACAGTTGACAGTCATTCAAGTTATAGCGATCCAAACTAGCTAACGATGTGGGAACACAACCTCAACGAAATTCAAAAGGGTGAAATAACAGTACCTTTACCCTCCGCAGTAGTTGATTGGGAGTATTATAATAACATTATTAATAATCAATACTCATCAAGGCATGGTGACAGACAGTTGTGCGAGCTGACAAACAATTAAAATAAAAAATACACACTTAGTCATTGTGCTTTGGAGTTTATTCAAAATTATAAATGAATGTGCCACTTGAATACATTAACTGGCACATTTGGTATTCTGTCAACACACACTCTAAAAAATGCTGGGTTGTTTTAACCCAATTTTGGGTCAAATATGGACAAACCCGAAATGTTGGGTTAAAAACGTAATGTAAAAATTTAACCCAACGGCTGGGTTAGTCCATATTTGACCCAAAGTTGGGTTAAAACAACCCAGCATTTTTTAGAGTGCAGGCTTTGATCCTGAGTTTAGCTGTAACATCAGTAGAGAACAGCCAAACACATGCTGATAGAGTTTATAGAACATTAAGAATTTAAACAAATGTACACAGGAAGATTCGTCGTCTTTTGGGAGGTGATGGAAACTACAGTCGTTGGCAGGATCACTCTGATTTCGTTTTCAGCTTATGTTCAAAACAATCCTGTTTAAGCCACTAAATTAGTTTAGTCCGGTTATACATACAACCGCGAACAGCACATGTTGTCCCTGAGCTCCGTAACGACATCTCTCATAAAGATTTGCGTCTTTAAATAGTAAAATAATTCTCCGAAAAACAGCTAGCCTCTTCGCTAACTAACACACAAAATACCATTGGAATGCTACTTCCGCCGCGTCACCGGAAGTTTCACCCACTTTATTTTTTACAGGAGCGCCCCTCGGAAACTTGTGGATACCAACTCAGGTAAGTCATGCCTCTCGGCCGCCATCTTGGCAACGCCTCCGGGCAGCTATTTCGGACTAACAAGACCAGGCTCCTATCTAAATAAACGGGCAGAGACTCAGAACTTCACTTTCACTGGTCACCGGGACATAAAAACTGCATGTATAGAAACAGCAGTAAAATATGATAAAAATCGCTGAAAAAGTTTGACGACTTTGCTCCAAAATAAGGTTTAAAATGCCTTTTTTCCCACAGGTTATACTTTTACAACGCATGCGCAAGGGTTCTCTCGCTCTCTGTTGCGCGCGCTGCACAGTTTGAAACACATATGTGCGCGCTCTTGCTCGCTCACTCTAGATTCACTCTTGGGATGTCTGATATTTATACAACGCGCAAACATAGACAGCATATCAAATCTGCCGCCTTTTCAAACAGTTACTCTGCTGTCGCAAACCTCAACTGTGCGCATACGTTAGTGGAACCAGACGATAGGCTTAAATGTTTCCCGGTTTGACTGTTAAAAGCAGACGATTGGCTGTCCAGTGGGAAGGGTGGGACATATGCATACAACCACCATCTTTGGTGTTGCCAGAGTGTAACAGAGAGCCTTGGCACTTCCTATTAGCCCCATTGTGTATCATCTTGGTTGCAGTTCCATTAGAATTCCACTGGAGGTGATCGCGGGCGAGTGCTGAATGAATGGGAGTCTATGGAGCTAAACGGCTAAATGTGTCTCTTTCTCCTGCTTGTCGTGGAATCAACATAGATTTTATTGTTGATTCTGCAAGTTCAATATAGATTATAGGCCAAAAGTCGAATAAACGAGTACTTATGTCCTTTCGATTTCCTACAGGTTAGGCCGTTGTTGGCCGGAACACGCTAGCATTCTGCTATTGTGTGACGTCATCATATTTTTTTTAGAACAGATAAGTGAACTTAAAAATGAAATTTTTTCAGCTGAGTGTATTATCTTAGCCACAACTTTCAAATTACTTGACAAAAAATTACATCCTGAGAAAGGTGGATTTTTCCGATGGACTCCCATTCATTCTGCACTTGACCGCGAGTGCCCCCGCATGGACAGAGATGTGTTACTACAGCCAGTCCAGAAACCGGAAGTAACCAGCCAGTGCCAATTCTCTTCAATTAGACATTCTCTGGTGTTATGGGTTTTCCCTATATAGTTGTAGTAAGGATTGAGGAAGTGTCTCTATATAAATAGTCTCTGGATGAGATCACATTATCTAAGATAGTTCAATGCTGTTGCTGCGAAGCAAGAATGGACTGGCTACTGCTAACAGATACACAAACACGCTATGTGAGCATGTAAGATATGCTGCACAAATAGACACACATAAATCCCATAGCAGATCTAGGCAGGTGGAGCTGGGGGAGGTGGAAGTGCTTACAGCAATTATTGAACCAGACTATTTAAAAGTTGAACAAGCGTTGGTTGGAGAATCAGCAGAGGCCAATCAGTTTGTGCCATGTGTTAATGATGTGATTGCTGTAGATTAAAGGGGTGGCGGATTGCGATTTCACTTTTTTAATTTTAAATAGTGTGTAATGTTGCTGTTGGTGCATGAACAGTATATCTGCAAAGTTTCAGCGCTGAAAGTTTAGTGTAAGCAGAGATATCGCCTTTTAAAAATCAGGAAGTATATTGCCTAAACGACTCGATTGGGACTACAGCTGGGTTTTAGACGTCACTAACCCACACATTTGCATCAACCCCTCCCTCCGGAAAATGCAAAAAAGGGCATGCGCATATTTCTGCGGCTCGTCGAGTGTGTTGTTCACGCAGCTGTCAGGTCTTCTGTGTTCGAGCTTCCCACGGACGTTACTTCGTCAACAATGGATACAATTTATGTTTGATTATGTTCCTGAAAATGACGATCGTAATGTAGCTCTCTGTGCTGCGCATTTAACGGAAGATAGCTTCCAGAATCTCCACGAGTTCAACACCGGATTCAACAAGAAACTGTCACTAAAACATGAAGCAGTTCCAACTTTAAAACCAGAGGCAGCAGTTGTTGGGCCACAACCTGTAAGTAGGCTAAAACTTCATCATTTTAAATGCATTTGCATGTATAATTCCAGACGTAGCCTTGTGTTTTATTTTTTTCAAATGCCAGCGCTGGCTTTATAGCCACTAGGCTACTATTTATGCTATTTTGTGTCTACAACAAACGCATACAAACATTATGGACCTGAATTTTGTATAAGTACTAATGTTGTAAATGTATTTTTCATGTATATATGCTTTATGACGTTATTTTCGATTTGATCAAGAACATAAACTATTGCCAACGCTAACATTAGCAGCCAGTCAGTTGCTATTGTTGCCAGTCAGATGCTATTGTGTAAAACAAACGTGTATAAAGTTAAAAAATGTAGCAAATTATCATTCAGAAATGTTTAGTAAGAGCCGTGTGTGGTGAGGTTCTGTTTGACTCTCTTCATCGCCGCTTTCTCGGTCTGATTCTGCCTCAAACTGATATTGTAGTATCAACATAAATGGACCGGAGCGCAGGCACGTTTCGCCCGTAAAGGTAATGGGCGTTAACTTTCCGGACAACGTGAGCAACAGTTTAGCCAATCACCACACACCGGCCCAAACTAACCAATCTGAGCCCACTGCCTGTTTCTGAGGGAGTGGTTTCATAGACTCAGGAAGTCGACCGGTCGAAGGAGAGCGCGGCTTAATAAAGGTGAAGTGAAATGAAAAATAAGACTTTTTAAAAAAGAAAAACCATGAATACATGTTTTATTGCACCCCATAAACAGAATCATGCAGAGAAAAAAAGCAGTAAACCCCCCCTTTAAAGGATCAATGTGTGCGTTTTATTTACTGTCAGAACACAAAGTGTTTTAGAACATTTGGTCATGACTGTATATGAATAAACAAAAGTGTCCATATTCCAACATTAGCCAATCTGACATCTGCCATATTCATCCTTGAGCTTAATTCCTGATTAGAGATGCCATAAAGCCTCTGTGAGGTTTTTCTATAAAAGTCTGGCATCGATTCAGGCTGTTACTCTGTAAAAGTATTTCAAGTTCAATTCAGAACAT